ACCTGATCTGCACATTCCATTGTAATGGGGTATCTTGCTAACCTATGTTCAAATAATTGAAGTATTCCCCCCTCCCCTTTTTTTTTTTTTGAGGCAAACAGGGTTAAGTGACTCACCCAGGGTCATACAGCTAGTAAGTGTCTGAGGCCAAATTTGAACTCGGGTCCTCCTGATTCCAGTCCCAAAGCTTTATCCACTGTACCACCTAGCTGCTTCATATCTATATAAAATGAGAATGATTAAACCATTCCTGCCTGAAGTGAAAAAGAAAAATCAGATGATCTTTTGAGGTGTGGAGAGAGCCTACTTTAGTGGAAAGAACACTAGAGGACCTGGGTTCTAATCTCACATCTACCACCGATTGCATGTCAGGTCTTTCTGGATCTCTCAGTGGTAAAAAAAAAAATGGAATTGGATTAAAGTTTTGAAGACTCTTTCTAGCTCTAAAACTCTGTGATCCCTTTTTGTTTTAAGATCTGTGATACTACCTGGAACTAATGTTTTAACTTAGCTATATTTCATGTAGCTGTAACCTGGGCTTCTAAACCCAAGATAGTTTCATCTCCCTCCATAAGCAAAATGAGACTTCTAATTGGTGGAGGTAAAGCTGATTTGATGCCCTGTGAGGGGCAGAGATAGTTCAAGAGCTTTTGGAAGAAGAGAGATTCTTCAAAAGAAGGGACACTCAGGGGCAGCTAGGTGGCAAAGTACCAGCCCTGAAGTCAGGAGGACCTGAGTTCAAATCCAGCCTCAGACCAAACACTTGACACTTACTAGCTGTGTGACCCTGGGCAAGTCACTTAACCCCAATTGCCCCCCCCAAAAAAAAGGCACTCATGATTCTAGACTTTTCAGGACATTATCTTGAAGAGATGGACACGTGTGGTTCTAGACATACTCTGGGGGAGTACGGTAAAGGAAAAAAGGCTTTGGAAACTGGAGACACGTAGAGAAAGCCGGTTTCTCAATGTGTCTCTGTTTTCCAGCTTGTGTCCCAAGAGACTTTACAGAAAAAATTTCCCTTTGAGTAAGATCTTGGTCACTCTTTTAGTTGGAGTTCAGATCTTATTTCTCTCCCAGCCAAACAGCTCAGTCACTCTTGTATTTTTCTGGTATATTTTAATAACTTCTTCAATTTCTGCTAGCTGTTTAGCTGGAATAAATGGGTTTACTCACTGTTCACTATTTGTGATGGTCTTTTATGTAACCAGCATTTGATGGGAACGGACCAAACTGTTGGGTATAAGTTTGACAGAGACCTCCACTTTAAGAGCAACCAGGGACTTTTGTTTTGAAACTATTATACCCTTAGGCCAGCCCCATTTGGAGCAAATAGATTTCATTCTAGTCTAGTACGCTCCTCCGGACACTGGATAATAGAACACCCAACCCCAGCTCTCCTTGGGGGAAATCACAGTCTCCCTTGGAAAAGGGTAAACCAGGTTCCAGAGATATCTATTCATGCTGCCCTTAAGCTGAATTTTAGACAATTCATGTAGAGATGTATGTCATACGTGGTTCTGCGCACAGTGTTAAAGATTTTTTTGGTATGGGAAACCCTTAGTGAGAAAAACCCTGCCTTTTACTTATTGTAAATTGAGTGATCAAATGACTTGCCCAGGGTCATATAGTCATTAAAATTTGAACCCAGGTCTTAAGGCCTCCCAAGGCCAGCTCTTAGCAGGATACCCCACTGCCTAATCTCTTCTGATGAAAAGAGCAGGACTATTTTTCTCTTAGATATTCTCCAACCAAATCCCTAAGACATTCACTCTCGGAGACCTCCAATTATTTGGAACTTTTTCCTTAAGTCAAATCAAGATCTGCCTGTCTTAACTGCTCCTAGTTAAGCCCTGTGAGACAAAGCCTAAGAAGTCTAATCAGATTCTTCTTCCATATGATAATCCTTCAAATACTTGAGTTGGTGGCTTCATGCTTCCTCACTGGTGCAGTGGAATGGAATCCCAAAGACCGGAGTGCAAATCCAGTCTCAGACACCTCCTGGCTGTGTGACCCTAGACAAGTCACTCTGCCTCATTTTCCTTATCTGTAAAATAGGGATGATAATAGCACCTAACTCCCAAGGTGGTTGTGAGAGTGAAATGAAAAGAATAAATGTATTTTTAAAGCATTATATAAATGCTAGCTATCATGATTATTATGTCCTATCTAAGGCTTTTTTCCTCTAGACTAAAAATACCCAGATCCTTTAATTGGTACTTATATGACAAAGCTTATAGTCCCTTTACCACCCTCATCACCCTCCTCTGGAGGGTGTCAACATCCTTCCTAAAACCTGGCACCTGAAGTTGTCCAACCTCTCCCAGTTCACAGAATCACAGATTTAATAATAACAGCTTTAATAATAATAACTTTAAGGTTTAAAAGCACTTTACAAATATCTCATTTTTATGCTCACAACAACCCTGGGAGGTTATTATAACCCCCATTTTACAGGCGAGGAAACAAGGCAAACAGGTTAAGTGACTTGCCTAGGGTCACAAAGAGCTAGTGTTTGAGGCTGGATTTGAACTCGGGTCTATCCCTGACTCCAGGACCAATGCTTTATCCACTGTGCTGACTATAATAGGAAGGATTGATACCAATATAGGCTTAAAGGCAAACTCTGAAAGATGTTGTTGTTTTCATTTTTTAATAAATCCCTGGGAGCGTATTCTATTGGGATTTGTCTCCTTTTCCTAAATTTGGAGGGCAGGAAAAACAATTCCAGTTTAATTGAGGTTACCAGTTCAGATCTGGATAATCATGTAGTATTTTCTGACTGCAGCATCTTTCTTCAGATTCATAATGAAGTCATTACTCTCCAGAAGCCATGGAAACCCTTGGCTTTGAATTTGAGACCTCGGGTTTTGTAAGATTGTAAGGCCAATATGTCAGCAGGATCTCCCTCATTCTCCTCAGTCACAACCTACCCCCTCCTCCACTCCTAGAATTGCTCTGCTTGGCCTCATGGACACAGGATTGGTGCAATTGGAATGTGGAGAGGAAATCTACAGGAAAGCTCCCTAAGAATTACAACTATCCAAAAAGTAAGCTGGCCTGCCTCAGGTGATAATTAGTCCTACAATACCAGAGGACTTTTATCTAAGACAGAAGTCCTGCCCAAGTGTGGGATGGACTCTTCAATCAGTCCATCGATTAGCATTTATTTAAGCACCTACTGTGTGCCAGGCATTTTATACTTTTGGTGATCCATTCCCATGGTGAGGGCCTCAAATCGTGAATGATATGCAGTACCATATGGGGGCAAGAGGTCTTGGATAGAGTTCCAAGAGTTTCTTCCTTGGGTACAATTTAAAGGTAGGGGTCATCTAATGATAAGAGTTTGCCAATACGTCACATGCCACCACTGCAGGATCTGAGATACAGCCCAGCTGTGAAGGGTTGGAGCTGGGTGGAGAATATATTCACACATCTTTTACTTAAGGACAGATTTGTGTACATTGCTACCTAATAAAATCATAATGGAACCTAAATTTGAGCCTTACTTAGCAAAGCCAGGTTTAAAAACTCATGCCTTTCCAGAGCAATTGCATTCTGTTTCCTCTTTGGCTTCAAGGGCTTTCTCACTGCTTTGTTAAAGGTTACCCAGGGAAGACTACTCAGGTCCCTCTCAGACTGGCTGGTAGAATGGAAGCTCCCTGAAGGGAAGGGTTGTTTCATTTTTGTCTTTGAATCTACAGTGCCTAGCACAATGCCAGTCACATAATAGACACGTTGTGGTTTAGTTATTTCAGTTGTCTCATTCTTTGTGACCCCATCTGGGGTTTTCTTGACAAAGATACTGGAGTGGTTTGCCATTTCCTTCTCCAATTCATTTTACCGATGAGAAACTGAGGCAGACAGGGTTTAACCCAGGGTCCCACAGCTAGTAAGTGTCTGAGGCCGGATTTGAACTCATGAAAATGAGTTCCTGATTCTAAGCCCAGTGCTGTATCCATTGTGCCACCTAGCAGCCCCTGTGAAGGAGGGGGAAAGGAGTAAGAGGGGAGGGGATAATGAATTATCATTAAATAATGAATGAATGAAAAAGCATTTACTAAGCACTGGATAGGTGACAAGCAAAAGTCTTTTCCAGCTTTACAATCTTCTGGGAAGTTGTTGGGGGGAGGGGAAAGGGGAGAAAGAAAATACAAAGAAATTACTTGAGCATGGGTATCAAAGTCAAGAACCTGGGTTCAAATCCCAGCTCTGCCACTTAATAGCTGTGCTGCCGTGGACAAGACATTTCCCTCCTCCTGCCTTAGTTTCTTCATTTGTAAAATGGAGGTCTAGGCTGAACGAGCACTAAGGTCCCTTCCCTCTCTTAAGTTTTGTGATGATCCCCTCCCCAACCCCCAGGTGAAAATGACCTCTCCATCCTCAGTTCCTGGGGCACCTGGCCAGTAACTCTCCTTTCAAAGGACCTCACTCTCCCTTGTGTCACAGCTCTTGCCAGAGGTGTCTTTCCCCTGTATCAATCTATAAGCTCCTTCGAGGACAGGGTCTTTGTTGTATCTGCATGGTGCCTAGGAAAGCAGGCTCTTAGGACCTGGGTTCCCAGCTCTCTGCCATTCACCTCTGGACCTCAGGCTCCTCACCTGTGAAATGAGGGGTTTAAGCTAAATGGTCTCTTTGGTCCCACTTACCTCTAAACCAATAATCATGATACACTGAGACTGTATTATACAAAGCTTTAAATATCGGAATGAGGTCTCGGGACTTTATTCTGTAGGCAATGGAGAGGCAGGAGACCATGACTTCTGTCCTTCCCTATCAAAGGAAGCTGGGCAACCATGGAAAAAATCGTTTAACCTCCCTGAGGCCATATGTTAAAAAAGAATAGTACCTACCGCCCGAGGATATTGTAGGGAAAGCATTTTGAAACCTGCGAAGCAATATAAAAGCATCAGCTGTTATTATCATGCACTTGTCCACTAATTAAAAGGCCTTTTTTTCTCTTTCCCTTCTCTCCCACCATACTACTAATCTGCCACCAGGTGGCGACAGATGGGCACATCTGAAACCAAGGTCAGATTTGAGCTGGAAGAGGTCTCAGAGGTCCTTGTCTAGACCAGCATTTTACAGGTGAGGAACAGGGAAGTTTAGTGACTTGCTCCAAGATCACAGAGGTAAGAAGTACCAGAAGCCAGATTTGCACCAGGTTACAAATTCAAATTCAACCAATAAAACCATAATACTTTTATGTAAAGGTAAAGCCCAATTCATGAGCACCTACTTCAACAACAGACGAAAGAATCCCCACAAAAAAGAGCAGATGTCAGTGCCAACAGCCCTCCCCACACAGGCAACCCGGGCAAAGCCCACAACACCATCACCCTAGACTCCAGCCAAAAAGGGGGCAAAGGCTCTCTGGCCCTGCTAGCCCTGGCTGCAGCCCTCTGGAGCTTTTTCTAGCCCTGATCCCAGAGTCACAACCAAGAACCATTTCATCTGGGACAACAGCAGTTGGATGGGAAGAAGTTGGGCCCAGTAACAACCTAAATCTGCAAGCAGATAGGGAAGGAGAAGACAGGACCCTATGGAGAAGCCTGATGATGGTGAGACCTTAGGAAGGAAACGAGGGGGTCATCCTGGAAAGAAAATCATGCTCCCCTCAAAAAAAAGCACTCCTCCCATCCTCAAGCTGTTCCCCCATGCCACTTACTTCTCTGCCTGGTCCTTGCATCTCTACAATACCAGTCACCTGGAAAGTTGGTGCTGTTATTCTGTGGGCAGCTGATGTCATGGGAGCCTGCTGCTTACCATAGGCCATACCCTGCTGCGTTCAGACCTACCTGCTCCCAAGCCCCAGGCGCTATTTTAAGGTCAGAGTAAGATCTGAGATTCCACTCAGCAAAATTTGAGTCCAGAGGGTGGCCCCGTAGTTATGTAGTTGCAAAGAACACTAGAACCTGGATCTGACTCTGTGTACCTTGGGCAAATTACTTAATCTCTCTGGACCTCAATTTCCTCCTCTGGATTAGCAAAATTGACCCCCCCCAAAATGGAAAATGACAAATATTGGGAGGGACAACAGGAAAACAGGCATGTTGAAGTACTGTTGGTAGGGCTGGGAACTGGTCCAGCTATTTTGGAAACCAATGTGGAACTATGCCCCTAAGTTACTAAACTGCATGTACCCTTTGACTCAGCTATACCATTGCTAGGCCAACATCCCAAAAAAGATAAAAAAGGATTTACGACATATTGTGAATGAAATACGTAGGTACAAAAACATGTACTGTATACAAAAACATTTATAGCAGATTTTTTTTTTGAGATGGCAAGGCATTAGAAGCTAATGGGTTATCCATAAATTGGGGAATGACTACATAAGTTATGTTCTACGAATGGAACAGAACACATTTGCTATAAGAAATGATGAAAGGAACTGTTTTAGAGAAAGCTGGGAGGACTGTATAAACTGATGCAGAGTGAAGCAGGCAAAACCAGCAGAATGATTTATTCTGTAACAACGATGTAAAAATGAACAGCTTTGAAAGTCTTAAGGACTGTTACCAATGAAATGATCAAACAAGATTCCAGACAATGAAGAATGCTACCCCCACTCCTAACAGAGCTGATGGGCTAAATATGTAGAAGGAGAGACACATTTTTGGACGTAGCTAAATGGCACTGTTTTGCTTGACTATGCATATTTGTTACAAGGATGTTGTTTTTCATTCTTTTTAGTTGGGAGGAGATGGAAGAGAGAAAACAAATGCTTGTTAATTGGGAAAAAAAACCCATATGGGTTGGACCAAAGTATTTCTGATGTCTAAGTCTCCCAGCTCTAAATTTATGATCATATGTATTGTACATCTAGATTATAATATCTTTGAGTCAATAAATAATGAATGGGCCAAAGAAGCCATTGTTAACCTTAATGGAAACATAAATCAGACCAGTCCTGGGCCCAAATCTGGGCCAACCTGAGCTATTTTTACCTTGACTATTTGAGCTGGAGCTACCCTCTGACAAGGGCCCTGTCCTGCTACCCAAAAACCCAAGGTGAGCCTCATGTTCAAGGTTTTTCGTTCCAGCCTGTCTGCTGGCTTGGGCCAGGGCCAGAGTGGTTACCTGGCGGGGGTACTTTGGTCACCACAGCAAAGGAATGAGAATGATGCCTCTTATGGATTAGATCTGAGTCTGGACCAATTAGTCTACACAATTCCAAGCAAATGGTTCATGCCAGAGTCAGAATATAGAAGTTCTACACAGACTGTGGTTTCTCCAACTCTGTTTATACTTCTGTAGTTCATACCGTTCCAAATCAGATTTACTGAATTCATTCATACACACACACACACACACACACACACACACGCATGCACGCGCAAGGTAGCCAGGTATAGGTGGCTTTGGAATCTTAAAGATTCCTACCTGCGATAGGTACTAGCTGTATAACTCTGAGTGATTTAATTTCTTCATGGTGGGCAACTCTCTGAGACCATAAATTACAGATGGTTTTCTCATCTGCATTAGTGGAGGGAGTTTCCACACTGGGAATTTCTCAATCTGATGAAATCATAGATCTGGACAAAAACAAACAAGTGTTAATCAACTTTAATGAAGACTGGCCATACTGTCATCTCTTTGTATGTATGTGTTACATAGGTTAAGCTTATATTTGCTAAATATTTGTTGTGCATATAGATATATGTTGAATCTTATACATGTAGCATATAAATGTTAAGCTTGTAAATCAGTGGGCTGACTAGCAATCTCAGTTTCTCTTTCACTTAAAAGTTTGTTCAGTTGTTTCAGTCGTACCTAACTCTTGTTGATCCCATTTGGGATTTTCTTGGCAAAGATACTGGAGTGGTTTGCCATTTCTTCTCTAACCCATTTTACAGATGAGAAACTGAGGCAAACAGGATTAAGTGACTTGCCCAGGGTCACACAGCTAATAAGTGTCTGAGGCCAGATTTGAACTCACAAAGAGGAATCTTCCTGGTTCCAAGCCCACTGCTGTATCCACTGTGCCACCCAGCTGCCTGTTCACTTAAAAATACTAAGTTACTAAAGTATGGATGAATGAATGGATGCATAGACAGACAGATAATATGCATGCATGCATACACACACACACAAAGACAACACCATGGCCTGTCTTCACTAAAGTTTACGAGACCACAGTCAGAGCACTTTATGCCAAATTGAGACCATATAAAATGCAGAGGCAATATGACACAGTGGCAGAAACACTTGACTTGGAGTTAAGGGACATGGGTTCTAATTCCAGGTCCTCCATTTGCTAGTTTCCATGGCTATGGCATCTCCAAGCTGAGCCTCCATTTGTAAAATGATGACAGTAAGCCTTGTACTACTAATTTTACAAGGAAGTTATAAAACTTCAAAGTATTATGTGAAGATGTATTATTTTTAAGACTATTAATTGATACATTAATTGTACATTAATTGATACATACCCTGAGCCTGGTTCACCAAATGCAGAATTGGCACCGGCACAGTTTGTCTGTAGACCCTCCCAACTCTCCCTGCACCCTGAATGCTCTCTCCTCTCCACTGGCACCCAGTGCTCACATCTGCCTTAGGTCCTGGTGTCAGAAGTGACCTCTTCGTACTAAGGAACATGAAGTACCCTTGCCAGGTGGTATGAGATCAAACTGAGGGAGGATACTGGGAGGGAACATGACCAAGAGGGAGATGCAGCATCATCTACTTTATTCATATGTGTATATATATTTTCATATCATTATACACAATGGCTTTCAAAGCAAATCATTTTTACCTTGCACTGTAACCCACTTCCACCCTCACCCTGTGTATGACCTAGAGCTCAGTACCTGGTGCACAGCCCACCTCACCTTGGGGCACGGTCCCCACCTGGTCAGGGAAAACAGCCCTGTAAGTCTCTAAAATGGGGCTTACGAGCCTGCCCTTACTGCCTACATCAGGAGACAGAGAGGGCCTGGCAGAAAAGAAAAATATTCCAACCCTTCAAATGGTCCCCAAACTCAATCCCCCAAGAGCTCCCAGGATCCTGCTACCCACCACCTCTTCTTCCATACAAGCTTCCCATTGGCAAAGACCCCCCCCCCCAGCAGAGTTCCTCAGATGAAAGGTGTGGGAGCAGGGCAGAGGAAAGAGAGATCCGGGAGAGCCCTTCAGGAGTGGGAGCTCAGGGCATGGCGGGCTGAGTAGCGCTGTCGGGCATGTTTCTCACAATACAACTCATCCCCCACCCAGAAGTGGCCCCGCATCTTCAGGCTTAGCCCACAGTCCAAACAGGTATAGCAGCCAGGGTGTCGATACCGCCCATCCTGTATCCGTACAGCCTGGTTCCTGCAGGGGGAGGGAGGAAGTGTTACGAACCAGTAACACCAATAATGTAGGAGTCAGTAAGCTGGATAAGGGTGAGGTACCAGGAACTTAGTCTTCTAGGGATCAATCCAACAATGAGGTGGGGAGGAAGGGGAGCAAAAAAAAAATCACAGAAGGAAAGAGTGGAGACCTGGTTCCTTTACCCAAAGGGATCATCATGTCTACCTACTGACAGTAGTGTCCAACAGGGAAACCCATATCTATTGGTACATCTCAAAATCGATCGTTGCCTCCCTCTCCAAAACTTTCTAGGACTCACAATGGAGGACAAGCAGCAATATCACCCTGGTCCATTCAGGGGCACAAAACCTGCCCTCGAAACACATACAAACATACACACTGGCACACACCCACATACCCCCCCTAGTGATCTTGAGACTTCAAAGAAATGAAAAGGAGTCATCCTTCCCAAAAGGATTGAGCAGAACTTGAGATGGGGACTGGAATGGTCTTCTGGCTTACTGAATCCACTGAATCTACCCCACTTGAGAAGGATATAAAGAAGGACAGAGAGCCCAGTAGAAAGGAATAGCTGTGAGAAGTATTCTGAGGGAGGAGAAAAAGAATTCAGACATAAAGACCTTTGAAGAAAAAACAAATACTAATTACCTTGCATGTAAAGCACTATGGACTTAGACTATTCAAGTTATTTTCACAGCTATTATTCCCTCCTCGGTTTGCCTTTTAAATCCGACATGGCCCCAATCTACGTACCCAAACTTCTCATACATTATTTCCATTCCCAAATTCTACAGTCCAACTAAGATGGCTTTCTTGCTGTCACTCACACATAATACTCCATCTCTCTCTCATCTCTGTGGCTTCACACTGGTAGTTTCTCATGCCTGGAATGCATTTACTCTTAGAGTGAATCCCTGGTTTCCTTGGAAACTCAGCTCAAGGGCTACCACCTCACACAAAAAAGCTGTCGTGATCCCCCCCAGGGGCTAGTGCCCTTCCCCTCTCCACACACCCAGCCAGCATCATCCACTCAGCCACTGAAGTGCAGGTCTGACCATGTCACACCCTTCCTCAAATGCCAGCGGCTCCCTATTACCCTCTTCCTAACCTGGTCCCGTTCTACCTTCCAGTGTTCTTGACTCCCTCCACAGACCCCCTGATCTAGTGACACCGGCCTCCTCCACTCCTTTGGTTTTCTACTGACACCCCACGCCTGGGATTGCTATCCTTCCTCATGGCCATCTCTTAGAATTCCTGGCTTTCTTCAAGACCTGGCTCAATGCCACCCACTTCGGGAGGCCTTTCTGAGTTTCCCCAGCTGCAAGGGCCGCTAAGGTTACCATTTACTGTCTGCATTCACTTAGGTAGCTATTATCTCCCCCATTAGACTGTGCACTCCTTGAGAAAAAGGGCTATGTTTTTTCTCTTCTTTGGATCCCCAGGGCTTACAATAGTGCTCAACACTTTGGTACATGCTTGCTAATTTTAGACTGATTAATCTACCCCTCTGAAGGAGATGGAGAAGAGAAGGAAAGAGAGGAGAAGACAAAGTAATAAAGATGTTCTTTCAGAACTGAAATTTTCGGGGCTAAAAATTGTGCTCCCAAAACAAGTAGGTCTTTCTTCTAGCTTTACTCTCAAGTTCCAAGGCTGGGGACATCAGTGCCCATTTTTAAGAGATCCGAATGGCACCCTGACTCCCGGATAAGTGTCTGCCCTATCCCAGGACCACCATCCAGTTCCCCCACCTCCACTTCCCAGCAGCCACACTCACGTGATATTGGTGTTGCATTTCTCACAGATGTGAAGTCTGGGTGGTGTGGTCTGGGCAGTACCAGCTGGCCGGGAGGCCAGTGGACTCAGTGAGCTGGGCAGGTAAGCAGAAGTGCCATCTACAGAAGAAAGACAGACAGTGCCACACTCACCCCCTGCACCAGAGAATTTCCCTTCCTTTTCTAATGTCCCAAACCCACCTCCCAAAGTTCATTCATTTGAACATTAAATCATACATATGTACTGCCTTTTGCTAATTACTTCATGTGTCTTCCTTGGCCTCCTGAATGTCTCTACTTTGCACTCAAGGCCCTCTATAATCCCACCACAGTCTACATTTCAAGTCACATCTACTGCCCCTTTATGTGGAACCCTTCATTCTGGCCAGGCCCCATAGGATTCCCTGTTCCCTTTTACCTTCCTACCTCTTGACATGGCTGCCACCTAGATGTCCTCTCCTCTAGTCCTACCTATTACTTGAATCTCGCCCTAATCACCCCAGCCCCAAGCAAACTCCTCTGCCTCTGACATCTTATAGCACCTGCTGTCTGGAGCCCTTATTTGGCGCTTAGCATATACAATTAACTCTGTGTGCGTATTTGCTTTATCTTGAAAACAAGGTTTCAGGTTACATACAGGTGGATAGAGATGGGAATATGGACTGGAGCTATGATTATGTTGGTATATGATGCTCTTAGAGAGTTGCTTAGAGCACTGAGAAGTTAAGTGACTTTCCCAGGGTCACACCATCAGTTATAGGCAGTTAGGTGGTACAGTGGTTAGAGTTCTGGGTCTAAAGTCAGGAAGACCTGAGTTCAAACCTTGCCTCAGACACTTACTAGCAGTGTGACCCTGGGCAAGTCACTTAACCTCTGCTGTCTCAGTTTCCTCATCTGCAAAATGGGGATAATTATAGCCACCTGCCTCTAAAGGTTGTTGTGAGCATCAGATAAGAAAAGTGCCTTTTTTTTTGTAAGGCACTAACACATAGTAAATGCTATATAAATGTTAGCTATTATCATCATCATCATTATTATTTATTATTACTATTATGTCAGAGATCAGTCAATATTTATTAAGCATTTACTATGTGCCAGGCACTATACTACGTGCTAGTGATACACAAGAGGTAAAAGACAGTCTTTGCCCTCAAGAAGCTCACAATCTAATGCATGTGACAACAAACAAATTATGTACAAACAAGCTCTCTACAGAATAAATAGGAAATAATTAACAGAGGAAGGCAAGAGAATTGAGAAGGGTTGGGAAATGTTCCTGTAGAAGACTGGATTTTAGTTGGGACTTTAAAAAGCCAGTAGGTAAAGATAAGAAGGGAGAGCATTGCAGACATGGAGAACAACCAGATGAAATGCCCAGAGCTGAGGACT